GACTACATGGTTTTCATCAAGCAGATTGATCAGCAAAATGCTCTAGAGTCTACTTCTTATTGTCTTAATGTTATTCGTAATCAGCACAGTTTTCTAAAACAAAATACTTCCTAATGTTTCACACGACACAACGACTTAACATGGATTTTTGTTCCATGTTCTTAATCCGACTTATCATTCTTAAAGTGACAGAAATCTTGTTGTTGCTGAATATCTGGTCGAATGCTTTCCCACAAGAAGTGAAAATAGCGATGGGAAAAATGAGCAGCAACAGATAGAATATCTTCTGATAAATTTACTAAGAGTGGAGCGGCGCAGTAGATATAGGTGCTCTGCAACGCATACTTCATCGATGCTTTGATCGCACACCCAATCTCACCACACTTTCCAACTCTTCGTGGTCGGTGAATTGATCAGACTTGTTTGGAAGGATAGGAGCACTGACTTGATAGATCGGTGGACCTCCGCGAGACATTGTAAAGACCAGATATGCATTTGCGTTTAGTCAGCTCAAATGTTCCTTGTTAAAGTGGAATGCGCAGCGCATTTTTCAGGGACTAGCCAGAGCCGGTAGCTCTCTCCTTTTCCGTTAACTTTGCTAAGGTAAACTAAGAACGTGATGAAATCGAATCCAATAGCTGCTTTCAGAAAGGGCACATTCCAAAAGATCATTCCTCACCTTCCTGCCTGAAATTTAGTTCGCAATTTTATAAGTTTTCCATGATAACCCTAAGCTTCTCTCTATGTCGCTTACTTTTTATTTTAGAGTTGTTTCATTTATTACTTACGTGCCTTTCTTTCGTCTCTCCGTTTGCGATTGAATTCTGTTTATAAGTGAAAAGAATGTATGTAGCACACGAAATAACTTCTGTCTGGGACTTTTAGGTTAGCTTTTCTTATAAGAGATTGAAGGAATCACTTGAATCTCAATGACAAATCAGTTATGGCGGTCATGATTTCTTTTGTTCAACACTCTTCTCTAATCCCTCTACACCCGGCTTTCCTATGCAGAGTAACAATTTCCCTCAGTTGTGTTTTTGCACTCATTTTTCCTCCCAGTTCTAGTGGTGTCTTATAGTTCGTAGTATTACGAAAAAAAAAGACAAACAGAGAGGTGCCTGAGTGAAAGGCTTTCACCCACGTTGACGCCTAGTCTCGGCGTCATTGTAATTCTTACTCTTTAGTTTTTCTCACTTCCTTCATTCTTCTGTATTACGGCGGTTATCATCGTCGCTTCTGCGTCTTGTAGAGGGCAAGATTTGGAACTGATTCGATTCATACATAGAGTATTCGTCTAATTAATATACAAAGGTCATTGACCGCTACAAGGGCGGTCAGCTGAGTATTTCTGAATTCTTCGTGATCCAAATCGTGCAATTCAGTCACAAGGTAGCCAGCTGAAATCTTATTTGCGTCATCGATGCGAAATCAAAGTATGCACTAAGCATTAGTATTTATTTATGTAATCAGTAACAGTTAAAGATCAGTCAACTGAGTTTTTTTCGAGAGCACCCGCTATACTGTTCGGTTCAGCTTTTTGTTTTGCTTGAAAAAAAAATCGCTACTGTTCTATTATGGCGGCGCCATTTGAGGCCTTCGGTAAAAGCGAATTCTTCGCTGTTATCTGAAGAACGTATCTGTCTAAAATTATCTGATAGCTCAAATTAAGTGAATTTTAAAGACATGTTTTATTTCTCATATTGCTTGTTTTTAACGCCGTACCAGTCAAAATGAGATTTTTCACCTTTGAAAATTTCTCGCCTGATGAAAGTTTTTTTATAGCGAAATTTTAACCATCAAATGAAGCAAATCTTTTTAATTAGAAAGCGTGTTTGCTTAGAAAGAACTTTTTAAAGCTCTGCGATTCGCACAAGAAGAGTGGGTTTGGAAGATCTGAGTGTGAAACCCAATGTTCTTTCTGTTGTTACAATGCTCGAAGAAGTCCTTTTCGAGAGCCATATATACCATTTCAATTGGAAAGATATTCTCTATCTAATAAGTGAAAGTCCAATACAACAAAACTTTTATTCAGTGAGAACTCTTTGAAAGCGAAATAAAATATTATTTTGACTGGAACGGCGCCAAAAATGAGGTATTTGAGAAATTAAACATGCCATTGCAGTTCACTTGATTTGAGCTATCGAGAACTACACAAACGTTTTGCAAAAGCAAAAAATACGTTTTTACCGAAGGCCTCAATTGTCGCCGCCAGAATAAAACAGTATCAAAAAAACTTTTGTCCAGAGAGAGGAGGAGCTTAAATGGCAGAATTTTAGACCAATCAATTGCGAATGCATCGAAATTTGTGCACATGACAGGTTCAGACCGCTGTGAACACTACAGGTCCATGTGGCACGGATTGGGTTAGAAAAAATAAAAAGCAGTAATTCATCAACGTGTCTAGTAATTTGATCCGCATCGTTTTTTTTTTTGTAAAACAAAATACAAATATTGTGTAATTTACTTATAAACCTAATGAAGAAAGCGTTATTCCGACTTCACACAGTTTTTGGTGCAAAGTTTTCCTTTATCAAAATCTTGTGTGAGAGTACACTGATGATTCAGATCGCATGATAATTCAACTATTGATCGATATCAATATCATAAATTTCCGCATTGCATTTAGTCAAGACTCAAGTGCTCGTATTCGTTTCCACATGAAAATTTCAGTGAGGAATACCTTAGTGGAACTCCCGATGTCACGGATTGACCTTCAGTTCAACACTTTTTATCACATAAAAATCAAATGTCACCTACTATGCTAAGCGATACGCTCAAAAGCAGAAATTTATCGCAATAGAGCTGGCAAACTACTTAATGGATGATTGTCTCACAGAATAATTTTCAGTTTCGCCGATATTTCCTTCCGTTCCTAGATTGTGTTAAAGAGGTCGATATCTAATTTTCGAAATGCTGTAAAGAAGTTTGGATCAAGCGTTGCGTCAGGCAGACAATCTCGCACTGTTTATCAAACTCACTAGTTCAGTCCTTTCAATATATATATATATATATATATATATAGTATATATATATATATATATATATAGATGGAGCGCATATGGCGCAGTGGTTAGAGGTGCCCTGCGTCGCACACGAGGTCAATGGTTCGATCTCGCGCTCATGGTTCACCAAGCCATCCATCCCTCCGGGGTCTGTAAATTGGTGCCAGACAGGTCTTAGACTTGTCTGGGAGGATAAGCAGCACTGACTCGGTTCAGCGGGAGGCCACCGCGAGTCATTGTAAAGGCCAGATGTGCATTCAATCACCTCAAACGAAGTTAAAAATTGAAGTCGAATGCATGGCGCATCCCTCAGGGATTGATCAACGCCGAGAGCTTTATCCTTTTTTATATGTAGGATAGTCGGTAGAGCAACGGTTTAACACTCGCTCCTGGATGGAGTGAAATGTGGGTTCGAATCTTACCTGACGCAAACGTTTTTGCATACCACTCTGCATCATTGGGTATAATGAAACATCATACCACCGCAAGAGGCGGTCGAATAAAAATGCATTCTGATTGATTATCGATACCTATTATCTGTCAGCATAAGTGGGGTTCAATGTCGATAGCAACCACCCAAGCCCGGGCGCAGACGGTTGGCTCTGACAGATAACGTGTTATAGCGTAGAGTCCGTTTATATATATAATATATATATATATATATATATATATATATATATATATATATATATATATATATATATATATATATATATATATATATATATATATATAGCGCATGTGGCGCAGTGGTTAGAGGTGCCCTGCGTCGCACACGGAGTCACTGGTTGATCTCGCGCTCATGGTTCATCAAGCCATCCATCCTTCCGGGGTCTGTAAATTGGTGCCAGACAGGTCTTAGACTTGTCTGGGAGGATAAGCAGCACTGACTCGGTTCAGCGGGACCCCACCGCGAGTCATTGTAAAGGCCAGATGTGCATTCAATCACCTCAAACGAAGTTAAAAATTGAAGTCGAATGCATGGCGCATCCCGCAAGGATTGATCAAGTTCTGATGATTTTTCCTGTTAATTTCTAGCAAGTGTCTATAGAGCCATGAACCGTTTCAAAGAGACTGAAAAGACTGGGAATCGTCCTCGAAAAGGTCGTTCAACCACCCGTCTACTTCAGATACATTCAGAAGACCCGTTGCCAAATTCAATGAAACCCAAAGCGTTACCTGCGCAAAGTAGTTCGGAAATCTCGGCATCAACAAATGGAGCGTCTGAAACAGTATAAAAACAAGCTAAAGCTGCACAGTTGCAAGGTTGCTTGTGTTACATCCTGGGAAAAAGATGAAAGAAAACTTCACTTCGCAGTCTCCCCGAATGGTTCGTCTGATACCTATTGCTCGTTTGTCGAAGGCCTTTTTACGGATAAGATGTTCATGGTCGAACCACTCCACAATCTCTAGAATCGACGCCAACTTCTTGAGAAAGGTCAGCAGAAGATCGCAGTAGCAGAAACCATGAGTCGTAGTCATTTTCCTGCCTCATTTGCATTTGCTCCAGCAGTAATACGCCGTTGCTCTGCATCAACAGAAATGTCAGAATCAGCGCTGCCAGCTATCACCAGCAAGTTTAACGGGGCGTACTGGAGCCTTGAAATACTCAACACTTTGACACCTACGGATTTATGCTTCAACAGGACTAAGCTCCTCCGCATTCAGTCCGTTTAATGATTACCAACTGTCCAGAGATATTTCCACGCTTTTGGCGCGAGTACATTTGGTCATAAAACTAGCCAGATCTTAATCCAGTGAATTACGTCGTGTGATCCGTACTGGAGGAAGAAGTCTCGACTACTCGCTACGCTAGCCTAGACGCGCTTAAAACGGTTCTGACACGCGCTTGGGGCAAAATTGCGGTAGAAGAATGTGCGAGCATCGTTGGCGATTTTCGTAAACGACTTCGTTAGTGAAAGAGACCAAAGGAGGCAGTTTCAGTCATTTGTCGTGAGCTTTATAAACCCAATAATGTAGAGCGGTATGCAAAACATTTGCGTCAGCCGGGATTCGAACCCAGATCTCACTTTTCAGTGAGCATGCGCTAGCCGTTTGCACTACCGGCGCTCGTTTTGCACACCGCTCCTTCTACGCTACAACACCTAAACTTTTTTGTTTATGGTTATAATTGTTGATTGATTTAATAAGCGTACTTATTTCTTTAATTGAAAGAATTCTCTTGTTTATGCAGTATTTTTTTTACTGTTGAATTACTTGAAAAATTACCAGAACTTTCTTCGCATCCTATATATATAGAAATGTACTTATATATGAGTAAATATGGTGTTTCTCCATTAGACAGCATTGATGAAGAAACGATGTCTCTCGCTGGACAAGAAATTTTCGTAAACTGATAGTAATAATTCAAAAGTTCAAATCTCTGGCTAATGCGCTTTGAAAAAGTTTCTTAATAGCGCTTCAGCGTAAGGAAAATACTTGTGTTTTAAACGCACACATTTCTCGTAGGCTAGAGCTTTTCCTTTAGACTATCAGTAATCATTCGATAGCGTAAGATTCAAAGATTTTAATGGTGCTTTTATTTTCTGGAAACACCGTTTCTCTGCAGTTAGCAGGGAAAACAAAATTGATCCATTTCGCGATCATTTATTTTTTGGTCAATTCACGGCCTGGGAAGATGGGAAGCAGAAGGGGGAGGGCCTGCCCGTGATCTCGACATGGCGGTCGGTCGATGGCGCCATTTCGTTCATATGTGAAGTGCAATCTTTGTTATTAAATTGCGGGTTATTTCCCCGCTTCAAAGGAAACTCCTATAAAACGTGTGATTATGATCCTGCAAGATTTCCTGTATGCATTCATGTGCTTTTCGTGCTTCCAGCGAAGTAACAGTATAAACGTGCAGCTGATGTAAAACATGGTTTTATTTCGATTTTGACAGCGTTATGAAAGGGAATTTTGAAAATTGGCCATGTAACGCGGTAGCCAGAGATTTAAGCTCTTGAATGATTACTAACAGACTTACAAATATGAGTAAATCCTTTCATTATTATTTGAGCCAACTTGTCATGTGGTCTGATAAGGGCTCTTGTACAGCCCGATACACGTGTTTCGTCCCTACAGACTCGTCAGTCGGGCATATGATATCTTGAATCAAAAGAATTTGAATAATGCATTCCACTTCCAAAAAGGCCATATAAGTGCACTGAAAGAGCACAAACAAATTTCGTTTCTCATTCAAAGATTTCTCACTAACCGAAGCTTTTTCTTCGGAGTTTTAGTAATTGGTTGATGACTTGAATCTTAAGAATTCCAACGATCTATTTGGTTTTTAAAATGGGCTTCGCATTACGACGTCACAGCCAAAAGAAGATTGGCCTTCGCAGAATTGGATCACTTCTTTTATCCGCTGCTAACTTCGATACCTTGGGAAAAAGTATTTTTGGTCGTTTTCAATGTACATGTAGCCATTCTATAGTTCAGATCAAAAGAATTCGAATGGCGTACTCCACCTTCAAAAAGGCATTTTTATTGCGCTGAAAGAGCAAACATAAGTTTTTGTTCCTCGTTCAAAGATTTCTCGCCGACCAAAGCTTTCCCTCCGTGGTTTTCATAACCAGTCGATAAATCACGTCAAAAAGATTAAATATGTACGGCGCATCACGCTATAACGGCCAAAAGAGGATTGGGTTTCGCAAAATTGGAAAAAAAGCTCCGGGTGCGGAACCTAATTTTCGTTTGATTTTTATAAAGCACCAAGAAGTCCGTTTAAGAAACCAAGAATATTGTTAGAATGTATGAGATTTATTCTACCGTTTGCTTGCTGAAACTATAAGAAAAAGGTTCCGTTCATTGAGAAATCTACGAATGAGGAACAAAATATCATTTTTGCTCTTTGTGAAAAACACCATCCGAATACTTTTGATTTAAGCCATTGATTGATTACCCAAACAGTGGAAAATATCAAAAAATACGTCTTTCCCAGTGGATCGAAGAGAGGAGAGGATAGTGAAGAGCGTGGTTTCAATAAAGCACTCGAAAGAAATTTATAAAACATACAAATAGTTCTTGTTTTTTTCATAATGTGCCTCCTAACAGAAAAGAACTATATATATACATATAAATATATATGTATATATATACATATATATATACATATATATACATATATATATATATATATATATACATCACATATCCATTTATATAGACATTCATATATGTGTATATATATCAACACATAATGATTCACAAGACATTAACGTTTTCATGTTCTCTTCTATCCTACAACAAGTTTGGGGGTTACGTGTGGCATAGTGATGGAGGTGCTCTGCAACACACCCGTTGTACTGCTTTGATATCGCGCCCAAGCTGAAGACCTTCTTTCTCACCTGCGTCGACAAAAGGTACTGAACTTATTTGAGAGACAGCACAATTGACTCAATACATCGGTAGACCACCGCGAGTCGTTGTAAAGGGTAGTTATGCATTCGTTCGCCTCTAAAGATTCATAATGAAGCTGGATATATGACGCAACCTTTAGTATTAACACTGAAGCTTTACTCTTCTGTCGTTCACAAGTGTGTTATGTCGTGATGACTTTTTCTGACCTTTACTTTGTTGAATAGGTACAAAATCTTTTCAACCCTCTACAAATTTTTGCAGCCTCATGGCCGATGAGAATGATTACGGATGTAGAAAGCCAATTTCTCTTTCCGACAAAGCTGCATATGATGAGATTGGTTCGATATTTCCGTATGAGTTTAGCTGACGGTTAATCAATCAGCTCACGGCGGGAAATAAACTTCTTGAACCGCACGAATCATTAAGTGGAGATTTTACCATTGTAGCCTTAATTCTTCATATGGTCAAGTCATTTAGTAATCAAGCTAGAAATGACGCTTCATTTTGATCTCTTCCAATGTCTACCGACTGAAGAAAGTTAGTGTGTGACGCCGCATCGAACCATGAGCCGATTGTGTGCACTACTGACCACTGTGCTACAAAGATTTATAATGTCTTTCGCATTTTGACACTCAATTCTCAAGATGTTTAAGGCATTACCGAAGTTATTACCCCACAGCCATACACGTGTTTCGGAGGTCTCGCCCCTTCGTCAGTGGCCCACGCCCCACATTGAGCCCTGGCTTGTAGCAAAGAGGAAGGCGTAAGTGGCGACAGCACAAGGTACAATGACATTGCGCTATCACCACTTTTTAGTTGATGGATCGCGGATGCTAAAAACAAAATGACCCATAGCATCAACCGATTTTCAGCTCGCATTTTTGTGTTCATTTATTTGAAGAAAAACAATTAGTCAGCAATATAATCATCATTATGATCACTGGTGTATAACAACTTTTTGGGCCAAGACTACATGGATTCTTTCCAAAAAAAAAGGAGATTGGCTATCAAAGAAGTCGGTGAGATCACTTCTGAGGTCCTTACAGTCTTGAATTACTTCTATCGCAAATGCTGCTTCAAAATGGTAATTTGATAGAGCATTATCACGGCTATACGTCTGATGTGGTAGCGTGGTCCAGCCCAGCTTCACCAAGATATAGCTAGTCGACTTTGCAATGTAACGTCGTCAATCAACGCGTAAGGTACCCATCGAGCCATCACTTTGCGGTGGCCCATTTCATTTAGATGGCGAGCGATGGTGCTGCCGCCATGTCAAGTGCCTACCTAAACCCTCAGCCTTTTGACAACAAACCGATTTGAAAAGGAACGAGAAGCTGAGAAAAACAATAGTACGAAAGAAATTATGGGATAAATTTTTATTTACTATTAACTTTGACGTATGCTACATATGAATCTACATGGCGAATTTAGAACGAAGTAATTAAAGTAAGCTTTGTCAATTAGGCTAATAACACGAAATTACTTACTTACTTAGATACTCAGATGGTTCGTCTTCACAAGTTGTCCGAACCCCAGCACATATTCTAAATGGTATATTGCTGATGGTGCATATAATACTCCTAGGTTTTCTGACGTAACCTTGTAAAGGCTTCCTCAGGTCTTCATGATGTAGTTTCCAAGAATTGGGTTTCGACGACGGATCCTCGGGCTTCCTACTAGTTGATTCGGAGATGGTGTTAGGCCGAAATCAAAAGCAGATGTAGGAAAGAAAATCAGCCGACCGCTCACGGATGATGCAGAGGCCGAAATGACACGAAATTGACAATAATAAATTTATTCGACTAACCTTTTACGTCCTCACCTTCTCTGAAACCGAGTCGATAGCCCAGATCAAAGTGAAGAATTACTTTTCTTACCATAAGAATTAGTGCTCCTTCTAAAGCAGCAGCAGAGTGACATGTGATTGCTGCCCAGTGGCAAACACGGAGTCATTCATCAATTTTGTCCGCTGTGGGATTATGCAATGCAAAACCAACGTTTCTTTCTGCTCTCTTTTGAACATCATTTTTGTTCGCACGTTGTCAACAGTCACTTTCGTCACGACATTTTGATATCATGAGCTGTTTGTCAGCTCCTCTTTTTTCCCACTCATTATAGATGCCCCTTTTAGAAGATATCGTACGCCGATGTCGCTAAAACAGGCCACAAAGAAATATGCAATTATTCACAATAGCGAACGTCATTGAGCAGGAACTGAACATTATCCACTTGTCTCAAGTACCGCTTGCCTAAATAAGGCTATTTGATATAAATTCTAGTTACGACCGCACTTAGTATACCCAAATTTATGCCCTAAGGCCTCTTGAGGTTCTCGCACGAACTAATCAAATTCTTTAAGTAACGTTTACACTCAACTAACTATTTTAACACCATGACTGAACCGCAATGAATCTGATAGTTTTCGAATCCAGGTAAACCGGACGTTGATTCATTATTGGCAACGTGAGATTTCATTCCTTTACGTGATGGCCATTTCGAGTCACTGGACAAAAAAAACCGCGATGTTCATTGCTCCATCATATCTTCAAACGGCACTAAAATTTTTGTGACGACGTCGCCTCACCAGATGTTACAGCCATGAAACTTTGCTATTAGTATTAGATTTCAAAGCGCACATAACGAAGAAGTTAGAGGTACTCTGAACTACTCTTATGGTCGTAACTTATTTCCGTGCTCGGGGCTGAACA